TTGTGGTATGTTATACAGTTTGTCTTCTTGTGTAGGCCTACGTGTTGGTTCAGAGATCGTTCGTGACTGATCTAACGTGCTTTTGAAATAGGGATAACAACGGGGTCGGACGTACACTGGTACTGCATACATATTCCCATATCCGCACTATTTGCGGGTATCCACAGGTACCAAACGATTTTTTAATTTCAGTTATATTTTTATATATTTTACAATAATTAATATATAAAAATAATTATTTCTTAAGTAATATGATATGTATATGATATTTTTATGATCATCATCACTAAATTTTATATAAAATAATAATAAAATAGACAAATATAATGTTAAATTAAAATTAATTAAGTATAAAATGCTTAAATAAAATATATACACGGATACCCACAAGGCGGGTATCATGATATCTGTTCCTACCCATAAGCTATTTTTACGGATACTCATCACAAGTATTTTAACGGATACTCATAGGTCCAAGTATTTTTGTCATCTCTATTTTGAACCTATGCACATGAGCAACCTGGAAATGTAAAGTGACAGGTAACAAATAGATGGAGTCACATGCATTTGTTGTAGTAAGATGTGTACAACTCCATACACGTACCCCTTATTTATCATCTATTAAAAAAAGTAAAACATAAATTTAATATATATATATATATATATATATATATATATTAACTTTATATGTTTTGGCTAATGAAAATAAAGGAGTATATGAGTCGATTGAGGTAAATTCTTTTTATAAAAAAATTAAAAACTGAGGCGTAGAAAAATGTACTTGTATAAATATATATGTTATGATAGAATATTCTTATAAATATCTTCCTTATTTATAATTAGTTTGTGTATCTCCTCTATTAATTTTATATATTCTCTATTTATAAGGAGTATCAGAGGAGGTATACAAACTAATTACAAATGAGAAATATATTCATAAGAATATTATATCATAAAGAATGTAGAGATATTTCGAGGAATCAAAGTGAACATATATCTTATAAAAAATAAGTTCACCTTTTCTATTATTATATTATTTTTTGTATATAATTCTTAATATCTTATTATTTTTTCAAAAAAATATATTTTTATATGTAAAAAATGGTTTATGAATCGGTGCTGAAAGTGTATGTCAATATAAAAAAATTATTGATTCCCAATTAAATTGTTTGTAATATCATTTATTTAACTCTTTTTTTAGTTATGTCTATAAATTTTTATTTATGATCGTTCATTGTGTCTATAAATGTGAATGTTAATATGTATATTTTTAACACACACAGCGAAAAATAGTAGATTTATTTTGTGTTAAAATATGCATACCAGGTAATACTGAGACAAATTTTTTTATAAGAAATACCTCGAGATACTGTGATGACTTCATAAAACTTCTCTTATATGGAACAAATTTAACCAACTTATACTCTAAAATAATAAACGAAGAGAAGAAAAATAATTTTCTTTTTCTCTACACACCACACTAGAGACTTTTTGCACACTCCTATTTAGGTATATTCTGGTTTTGTGGCATTTATTTCTAAAATAAAATAATCACTCAATCTCATATTGATTCTATCATATAGTAACAACTACCTTTTTTTTCTCCTTTTTGGTTTTGTTATTTTTATTTTTGAAAAGTTTAAATCAATCTTATCATATTTATTAATTTAAACATAGATTTAAAAATATATTAATTAAGTCTCACTTAATTATATTACATATGACTGAATAATATTATTTGTATTTTTGGTGCTAAAATAAAATACAATAACATTTCACATAAAATAAAACTATTTAATTTAATTCATAACATTTTCTCGTCCAACAAAAAATAGAACACTCGTTAGTGTCTGACCCCATAAGTTCATTACTAAACTGATAGTAAATTAACTCATTAATTTACTAATCAATGTTGACGTCTAGCAACACTCCTAAACGATCGGATAGTAATGAAGTAACATCTTTTACTTTTAGAACCATTAGAATATTAATATAATATTTCATTCCATCTTTACAACTCTATGTTAACTCTAGAATATGATATGTTTGTCAAATTCCAATAAGTTAACAAATAGTGAATGACTTAAGAAACTCATTTCTTCATTCATTCAATTCCCCTTGGCCAAGTTCTTTATTTCTATAGAGCTCAAACTCATTATCATGAGTTGATGAATTTTTTCTTGATTAATCATTAATCTTACAAGAATTTGCTTATACTCAATAATTATTCAACTAACATCATAAAACATTAGGTGTCCGATATCAAAATATAACAAATAACTTGTTAATTACTATGACAATCTCAACTCTAAGGAAAATTTATATTTCATTATAAGAATTTCCTATTCACAATTCAAAGGTAATATATATTAACCATTATGAATTTTCTTTTGAGTCGGTTCAATGATCATATATCTATATACATCATTTACATGTGTAATTTAACAAATGAGATCTATTAATCTTTATCTAATAAAGACCACTCCACATATATTGATCTATCTAGATTAATAATGTCTTAAGCTTAATAATCTTATGATCAACAACAATTTAGATTAAAATTATAAAAGATTTATTTCTCATTATTATAATAATAACTCTCTAATTTTAATCAAAGACCTTTCATATTAATTATTTTAACAAACAATGAATATGATAACGATATAATAATAAATACAAATTTATTATTATAAGCATGACATATTGGATATCCTACGAAATGTGTAGAAGTTTTTATACTAAAAGTATATACATATTACTCATTATATATTGTAATGTCTCTGTGTCCTCTATTTTAGATATTGTTTAAGTTTAAATATCTATATCATATCCTATGATGCTTTTTAATATCATATCATTCCACCATACATTATAACTGTTGGAAATTATTCTCATAACACTTTATTTATATGAATGGCTATGGTTGTGGCCTTTATGGACCTTTTTCATTTAGAAACCAAAGTGGACAGTAAATAATTGTCTTTTGACCCTTTTGAGACAAAAAGTGGAAATATCACTTAGAATTGTCGAGCAATTAATCACGTAAAAGGTATCATCAAATACATAAATTTATATTATTGCTTTACGCTATTCTTAAGTTTTTCAATAGTTCATTACATGTTGATACTATCAATCCAAATTTCCAATGCATATCATATCAATGACTACACAACAACCCACTTTTGAAAGAAAAAAACTGTAAAATGTATGTTCAACTAAGAACTGCATCGTTAAAAAAATAATATTATCACCACGTTAAGAGTAAGGATATCAAAAATATATACCCGTACTTGTGGATACTCGTAAAAATATCTGCAATGGGTACACGTAAAAATAGCTTATAGATGATAATGAGTATGATGATTTTAATCATTAGTATTGTATAGTAACTCTAAACAATGTCATATTGTTGAGGAGAAACTTATACTTTTAAGAATAATATTAGTTTTATCTTCAACATTTGACTTAAGTAAGGAATTTATACACTTCACGATTAAAAGATAATATAGAATTAGAAAAAAAATGGTTTGATAATTAATCATCTTTATCAACAATTCTCACACTCTTAAGACATGTTCCAATATTTAGAAAAATAAATTTAAAGAGATCACCCATATATTTCATATTTTATATTTCATAAATGAACATTGCAACCACACTCTTGTGCAAAAGGACATAGTAGAGAATTTCTTCCGAATGATAACCATGTTGTGCAAAAGGATGGGGTAGATAGGGATGGCAATGAAAACCAAATCCGCGGATATCCGCCCAAACTCAAACCAAATTTAACGGGGAAAACCCGATGTGATTGAGTTCGGGTTCGGGTTTTACCCGAGTTCAAATTTCGGGTTCAGGTTTGGTATTAACAATATCAAACCCGAACCCGATTAATATATATAAAAACTATATATATATATATATATATATATTTCATACACATATAAATTTCATACACATATATAATGTTAAGCTACACATATATATAAACTATATATAAAAAATATGTTTTTTCGGGTTTTTTTTTGTTCGGGTATGGTATCATTGTTTCCAACCCAGCTTAATTCGGGTTCGGGTTTTGGATTTCGGGTTCGGGGATGGGAAAGCACAAACCTGATCCCGACTCGCCCTGTTGTCATTCCTAGTGGTAGAGAATTTCTTCCTAATGATAACCATGGTATAACTATAGTTGGAAACGAGTCGAATCAAGTCAAATTAGAATTCAGTTCGGTTCAACATGATAAAGATTTATTCACATCAAAATTCGACTCGAATGACCAAAACAATGATCATAAGTATACACTTAAGACTCTTGTGAGATCAAAATATATTTCATATTAATAAAGTTTCTAATAGGAGATGACACATATTTCATATTATCATGACCAAATCAATGATCATAAATATACACTTAAATCTAGATCAAAACCTATTTCATATTAGTAAAGTTGTTAGCAAGGAATGATACATATAGTCAAACTTTTCACTCACACCTATCATGAATTGGGTTCAATTCACAAATTTTTCTTATTGATCAGTGATATCTAAATTCAACAATAAATCTTCATACCTTAAATGGAAAAGTGTCTTCCCATAATCTAAACTTCTGTAAAAAAAAACTAACAAAAGAAATAGTTTTGGGCCTCCCATGCTAAAAAGAGTTGGTCACACCATGATACATGTTTTTCCCCTTCAATATCACTAAAGATATGGAAGCTTATGAGAGACTTTTTCTTTCCAAACAAGGGTAGGGATCCACTTACTCCAAGAGTAAGTGGAAAAACACTTACTCCACATTATGATCATTCATTCTTGGGAAATTAAAAACAACAAAAATGGATCTCTCCCCTGCAAATTTAATGGCTACATCTAAACCATTGGATTTTTTAAGATTTAATGGCTAAGATGAAGAGTAAGTGTTTTTTGGAGTAAGTGGATCTCTCCCTGCAAATAAAGTATAAAGTATTATGAAGCATGAGGTAATTAAAAACAACAAAAATAAATAATGTATGATCCCAGGTTCGAAATGGGACCTTTAGTTTGTGAGACTAACGTGATAACCAACTACACCACCCAGACTTTCTTGTTGATTATTTCATTATTTAAGTATTTACTAATTAGTATTAGTTGCTAGAGAGAGGAGATGGTAATAGTAGAAACTTGGAAGAATGAAAAGGAAAGAGTAAATTACACTCACACCCCTGAGTTTTAGTGAAATTACACAAATCACCCTTTACTTTTTTGTCATTACACGAACCACCCCTAATTTTGTACATATGTTACACTGACTACCTCTGCATGACATAAAAGTGTAATATTTTAAACAAAAAATGTATGATGTGTGTAATTAATTAAACAAAATATTGTATATTGTGTAGACAAATTCAAATAATATAAGAGTCAATGTGTCTTCATTATTTGGCTCGTTATAAAATAGTATAAGAGTTATTTAAACATTTCTTTGAAATTTATAATGTATTTTTTAATGACACAAAAATAATAAAGAAACACTCGGTTTTGTACTATTTGAAGTGTTGTACAATATACACTATTTTGTTTAACTTAATTACATTCATCACACGTTTTTTTTTTAAAATATTACACTTTTATAACATGCAGGGGTGGTCAGTGTAATGTATGTATAAATTTAGGGGTAGTTTGTGCAGGAGGGAGGGGTGGTTGGTGTAATGACAAAAAAGTGAGTGGTGGTTTGTGTAATTTCATTAAAACTCAGGGGGCATGAGTGTAATTTACTCAAAAGTAAATGTGAGGATTTGCAAATGATCATTCCATCAATCCAAATATTGTTGAAATTTGATATTTAACCGTATTTCAAATGAACATATTTTTTGTCCAACAATGTGTGTCACTCTGGGATAATATTTTCATTTATTTCAATCACAAAAATTCATCATAAAATAATAATAAATATAATATATAATTATAAAATAATAAAAAATCTATAATATAAGTAAATTATTTAATTAAAAATAAATTTATAAGTACGCGAGTACTTATAGGATGAGTATCATGATACTCATTTATACCCATAAGTTATTACTATGGGTACATGTGAGGTGAATATTTTTGTCATCTCTACTTAATAATTAAATTTTAAACTTAATAAATAAATTTTTTTCAACCAATCACAACTCATGACACATGAAGTGGTATAAACAAATACTTCAACTCAAATACTAATATAAACAAAGACAACAAATGTAGAAGAGTAGTTCAATTGAAAGGAATTCAAATCAACAACTTCAACTCAAATAGGTTTCCATCTAAGACAATGTGAACTTTGTAGCACTCACCATCATCCACATATTCAGAAGTTGTAAAGAACCAAAGCACAATCAAATACCCAAAAGGAAAAACCTCACAATCAGAGACCCACATGATGGCTTTTTTGGGCTTTTATTATGCTCACAAAAAAACACCATTAATAGAAGAGGGAACACACTATATAATCCCTACCCTCAGAAGCCCAATACTCTATAAGTAAGAAGGAATTCATTGAAAAGAAGAGAATAAGTAAATTTCTGAATTAAATGGATGTCATAAAGTAATATTTTGTATATAAAAAATTAAAATTAAATAGTAATGATATGATACAGGAAATTAAAAAAAAATACATGAATGAAAATTTTTCATCGTCAATAATTTAATATTATCTTTAGAGAATAAAGTATTTTCTCACACTAGGATAGTTTACTTTTTTAAATCAATTCATTATTTGACATGTGTCTTATTTCTTCTGTTTACAATATATTTAAAATGAAAACTTCTAGAAAGAAGATAAATAAGACACATATCAAACAATGAGTGAATTTAATGAGATAATTTATCTCATAATGTGAGGAAATGTTTTATTCTCTTTCATCAATAGTTAAAATCTAGTGTGATTATGAAGAAAAATAGTCCATAATATTTTCTAGTTTAAAGGTTTTTGTAGACTTTTTCATATAATATATCACGAAGCTAGATTCTTATAGATTCAATCCATAGCCAAGTGGTTCAACAATGTTCCTTCCTATTTTTGAAACTAGGATTAATTTTGGGTCGTGTAAATATTTTTAGTGAATTTTAAAGTAAGGAAGTTTGGAATTAGAAGTACCAGAATTCTCCACAATTTATCTAAATTAAATAAAATTAATTCATTTAAATGAGTAATTTTAATAATTGGCCTATTCAAATTATTCATTATATCCCATTGATGTAGTTTTAAATTAGGAGAAAACTTAGTTACAATTCTTTAGATACAAATGGTACTTGTAGCCTATTAAAAGATGACATGTGTTCATTATCACCTATACTTTGAAGAGAGAGATTCTTAATTGCAAAAAAAAAAGACTTAATGATATAAATGAACCCATGTTATACCTTTTAATATGCTACAAACACCATTTGTACCTAAGGAATTGTACCTAAGTTTTGTCCTTTAAATTAAATTCTCGTTATGACCAATATTTTTAGTAGTATCTGCTCAGATAATAATAAAATAAATAGTAGGACGTGTGAATATAGTTAATACGAAAATTTTGTTATTAAATATATAAAATATATAAATATATGTTAAAAATTTAGACATCACATATTTTCATAGAATGCTGCAAAAAAATTAGAAAGGAAAAAAAAACTTTTTTCAGAGGGGAAATGATTTTGAAAGTGGTTTTAAAAAATATTTTATTAAAATAATGGTTTTTAAAATGATGATTTTCTTAAAAAATGAATTTAGTTCCAATTCAAAAAAGTAAAATGGGTTGGATACACATTCATCCAATTCATTAATATGAATTCATATAAGAATTAAAAATTCATCTATTAACTTTGAATTAGATAAATTGAATAATTCAAAATATGATTTTGATAAATTTATACAAATTAGTAGATGATTTTCCACCCATTTGGATCTAGATTCATGTATTTGTCACCCATAGTTGCAATCCACAATCAGACTACAAACAGTAATATGCCTTAAGTTTTAAACTAAAATATTAATCATATGAATTTATTTTGGCTCCCCTTCCCCTTATATTTGGGTTCAAGCTCCACCACTAGATGAGGTTATTGGGGGAGAGGCGTGGAATTGGATAAAGGAAGAAACAGAAGAATAATAATTTGATTTCATAGCATGATTGCTCTACAAAAATTGATAGTGGAAAAACTTGAATCTTAATGATAAACCAGTGTTGTGAAAACTGGATCGTACTGAACAATCCGACCAGTCTAACCACTAACCAGACTTGAAAACGTCTCTGATTTACAATCTTAACTGAATGAGAGTTGGATTGTTTTAACATTTCAGTCAATGCGGAGAATCAAAGTCAAAACAATCAACAAAATTAGGGATGGAAAACTATTTTTTTATGGATTAAAATCAAGGGATCTGTATTTGTAGAAAGTCAATAACATTTAAGCCTTTTATTAATTGAAAATCTTCCAAACAACAAAAGTACACCATTTTAACATTTTCTATTCCACCCCTTTCCAACTATTCCTTCCATCCCAACATACAAGTTCTCAGTAATACATTATTTATTATGCATAATTATCCTATAAAAATTTAATATTCTCTTCATTTAGAAGAATTCAACCTTTTTAACCCACATGATTGCAACTCAAAAGGCATGTAGCAAATTAATTGAGGAATCAATAGTTTAATTTGCAGTCCCAAGTTGAGATTTGAATTATTGCACAGAGAAAAAAAACCCACAATGTCAAAGGTATAAAAGAAGGGCAGACATAACATGCAGGAATACCAGTCTAAGCAAAATTATAAAGGTTTTATCAGAACACTTATTATGAAGCTTAAATTGAAAATTAATCAAGAGTGCTAATGATGTTCATTACCAACCCCATCATCATGGTCTTTCCTAGCAGCAGCTCTTAGTTTGCGCTGCTCCTCCTTGTAAATCCGGTTTCTTCGTTTGAACTGCATTAGCCATTAGGCAATAAAATCAATATCAGTAATTTATTTTCTAATCCAACCAACAAATGTTGTTACAAACAATGTGACTATGGGGTAACAAACAAGCTTTTATCTAAAGCAGTTCCTGTTGTATAATTTTCACAATGCCAGTTCAAAAGAATCAAAATATATATTTATGGCATTCTCAAATGCTTTTAACTTTCAAGGGGTGGCCTAAATTATAAATATGTTTCTGTTACGGAACTATTTTATTGAGACAATATGGTAAGAAGGATAGCTCTGTAATCGGAAAATCTTTATGCTTAAAGTTAAACACTCCATTTTCAATCCTCCCATATTTCTCTTAGTTTCCCAAACAAGTTATACAACTTCCATGGTTCCACCCTATATTTTGATTCTTCCCAAAGGCATAATGGAGCCACAGTACCTGATTATAAGACTAAACCATACAAAAATGGTAAAAGGTTGATTAAACGAGGTAAAAGGCTAAAGTTAAGCAATGCAGTAGCAAGAGAAGAATTTTGAATTCACTCGGTCAAATTCTATAACTACAATACTTTTTATCAATTATATACCAGTTACCTGTGTGTAATGGCTGAGAATGATTATCATATAATCTATGTAATTTTTCAGCAGAAATTTGGAATTTATGCACTAGACTAGAGCAACTGGGTGTCCAACAATCCACATGAAAGTTTTGAACCACATAATGAACATTATATGATAAATGAATTCAATTTAACAATAAAGTTCGGCAATGAACAACCATATTATTGTCAACCACGACATTATACACCCTCAAAGCTGGGGCTTGACTCTAAGCAATTGGAGACTTATATAAGGCCCTTGAGTATTTTCAAGCCATTCAGTTTAGGCAAATAGCAAACAACTGAAACCACATTATCCATTGTTAAGTGGGTAATAACCACTGTACTTGTACAGCATTACAAAAAGATATAAATAAATAGGTTGTGAAAAGCTAGGGAATAATTTAATTCTAAAGATATAAATTAAACATTTAAAATCCAGCTAAGTAGCAAATTTTTGGTTCATGGCCAAATTCGGATTGCTATAGATGGCAACAAAAAGAAGCACATAAGAAATCAGAGAAGTCCAAGAATGCAAAAGCCCTGTGTTGTTTTCATAGT